CTTGACTTAAGGTGACCCAAAACCAATATATCTGATTCTAAGAAATGTTTGATAAAGAACTCAACTAAGATTGCAAACATAATTTAAATATAGCTGCACCTTCAGTCACAAACAGAGGAGGGAGCAGTGAAATCAAAGTAAGCTTGGAAGAGTCACAGTAGCAGATTTTGACACTACCAAAAGGGTGTTGCTAGCAGTGATGGAAATTTTCCATTTAATAAAGCAAGCAAGCGTTCTGACCATATCTAAATTGAAATTTAAATAAAGAATTCATTTGGTGGCCCCTGCAGTAATTCAGCATAGTAAGAATACTAATCAAATAACATGGACCAGAGCATTTTCAGGTTCAAGCATGGATCTGCACATATTAAGCTCAGAGATAGCAGGACTATAAATGTCATTAATATTTCAATCAACATAAAATATTTGATCAAAAGCTTCTAATTTATCCTAAACTAGCATTATCACTTTTATTCCCCATTATACTGCACTCCAAGAAGCTAAGTTATAACAGATTCCAAAAGGAATTTGTCACCTTCTTAAAGGCACAGGATTTTGGAAATAATTGCAGTGAATTTAGGTACTTGGTTATGGAGCAACCTAGTGAACACATCTGTCAACTTATGATCTTATAAAGATAGATGGTGGGAGATAGATATAGGTACAGATACAGATACAGGGTGGGAGAACATTTGTATCACACCATTCCATAAATGAACCACTTGGTGAGCTAGTTGCTCAGCCCGTATAAAGCAAGTCCAGGTAAGGGTAGCCAAGCAGATCTGCAAATAATTAAAAATAATTAGATCACATATGCTAAGGGCAAGCAGAAAGGCTGTGAGGTTAGCTCTATTTATCTTTTAGAAATCCAACAAACTTGGAAGAGATAAGATAGCTACTTAAAACGCTGATTGAATGGTCAGACAAATGGACTCATTATCTTCATCCAATCTCATGTCAACGAGCTAAAAGCAGCCATAGCAGCTTCTATTTCAAGCTAAGTCTTTCAGTTAGACATACTTTTGACAACACCTTTCAATCTAGGCCACTAGCACATGGTAGGATAGGGACAACAAATGCATCGAGACAAACCACCTGAAAGATTCACTCCAAGCTACAAACCATCCTAATTTTGAGCATATCACCAATGCTTCATTGTCGCTGGATCAAAATCATGGAACCCCCTTTCCTAACAGAACTGTGGGTGACCCTGTGCTTAAGTACTACAGCACGTAACCATCATCCTCACCAGGGTAATAAATTCTGGTTTGCACAGCAACATCAAAATCACAAATAAAAAGAAACAGGTAGTGATACCCCATTCAGGGCAGCATTTATTTGCAGAGATAAGGTTTCAGGTCAATGATCTTATATCAGAACTGGGAAAGTTAGCAAAGTAACAGATTTTTAGCAAGTGAAAGGTAGAAAAAAGGTCCATTTTAGGGTGGTAAGACAGGAGAGATTAAATGGGGGAGAGGGGAGAGAACCTCCTGGTATAACACATTAATGGGACAAGAAACAAAAGATGCATGTTTAGGCGCCATGACTGGCAGAATGATTAACAGCTGCAGGGGGAAATAAGGCAGTGAAAAACAAGCTAAACTAAAACCTGTAAAGACATCAATGATCGAACTTCAGCTAGAATATTTCACTTAAGCAACAGTGACAGAACTAGATCTCCATTTATTCATTTCAATTGCAGTATAGGAACTCCACAGCTATCAGAAGGCGTTCACCTTGTTCCTTCACAATGCAGCAGCCAAGGTGACCTCTTGGTTCTTTATTTTTTTATTCATACATGAGATGTGGGCATTGCTGACTGAGGCAGCATTTAATGCCCATGCTTAGATGCCCTTGAGGTGGCAGTGAACTGCCTCCTGCGCCAGTACAATTCGTGTGTGGTAGATAGATCCACAATGCCCTAACAGAGGGAATACAAGAATTTTGACCCAAGGACACCAAAGGAACGACAATATATTTCCAAGTCAAGATAGTGAACGGCTCAGAGGGGAACTTTGAGGTGGTGGCATTCTGTTGCCCTATCTCCTACATGGACGAGTTTGTAAGGTGTTGCCAAAGAAGCCTTTAATTTCACAGAATCACTACAATGTGGAAACAGGCTCTTTGGCCCAACAAGTCCACTCCGATCCTCAGAGCATCTCACCCAGACCAATCCCCCTAATTTACACATCGCTGAACACTATGGGCAATTTAGCACGGCCAATCCACCTAACTTGCACATCTTTGACTGTGGGAGGAAACCACACAGACATAGGGAGAATGTGCAAGCTCCACACAAAGGGTGGAATCGAACCCGGGTCCCTGGTGCTGTGAGGCAGCAGTGCTAACCCCTGAGCCACCGTGCTGCCATGCTTCTCGTAGTTGGTACACACTGGTGGTGGAAGGGAGTAGATACTTGTGTTTGTTGTGCCCATCAAGTGGGCTGGTTTGTCCTAGATGGTGTTGAGCTTCGAGTGTTACTGGAGATGCACTCAAAGAGGCGCCTGGTCATAGATCGCTATATTATGAGGAGTGGTGAGTGATGCTGAACATTCCCATTCCGACCTTCAGATGGAAGGAAGGTCATTGATGGAGCAGCTGAAGTTGGTTAGGGCAAAGATACTTCCTTGTGAAGCTGAAGAAACTTGAACAATTATGATCATCTTATCTTTTGCCAGGTATGACCCCAACCAAAAAGGGGCATTCCCCACAAGATGCCCACTGATTCAATTTTTCCAGGACTCCTTGATGCTACACACTATCAAGTACAACCTTAGTATCAAGGGTATTCACTCTTGCCTCACCTCGGGAATTCAGCTTATTTCCATTTTTGAACCAATGCTATAATTCAATTAGGAGCTATGGGGCCCTTAACAAAACCAAACTTGGCATTTGATGGCCAGTAATTGGCTAGCATTTGTTCTGCTTATGTACAGGATATACCTGGGCAATTTTCCACATTGTTGGGTAGATGCCATGTTGTTATAGCTGTAGGGAGGGCTTGGAAGATATATGGAAACCACGCAGAATGGACTGGCAGCATCCAGTCACAATCCTAAATTGAAGGCAGCGGTTCAAACAGCTGATGGCAAAAGCAATGTTAGCATTTATTTCAAGAGGGCTAGAACAGACATGCAGATATGTACCGCTGAGGCCACATTAGGCTCTGATCAGACTGCATTTGGAATAGATCAGGTCTGGGCCTTGTATCTAAGGAAGGATGTAGTGACCTCGGAGGGGGTCCAGAGGAGGTTTACAAGAATGATTCCAGGGATGAAGGGCTTGTCACATGAGGAGAAGTTGTGGATTCCGGTTCTGTACTCAATGGAGTTCAGAAGAATGAGGGGGAATCTCACTGAAAGTTACAAAATATTGAGGGGCCTGGACAGAGTGGACATGAAGATAATGTTTCCACTAGTAGGACAGACTAGGACCTGAGGGCACAGCCTCAGTGAGGGGACAACCCTTTAGAACTGAGATTGAGGAATTTCTTCATCCAGAGGATGGTGCAATTGTGGAACTCATTGTCACACAAGGCAGTGGAGGCCAAGTCATTGAGTGTATTTAAGACATAGTAGATGATTAGCAAGGGGATCAAAAGTTATGGGGAAAAGGCACAAGAATGGGATTGAGAAACATAATAGCCATGATCGAAAGATTGAACAGACTCAAATGGATCGAAGGGCCTAATTTTGCTTCCATATCATATGGTTTTGTGCATAAATTCACGTGGTATCGGTCACAGGGCAACAAGGGTGAAACACAAGCAGCAAAATGGAAAAAATATGTTGCACTATGGATTTCTGTTCGACTAATGAATTCACAGAATTGCATAAAATAGAGCACAGAACTGGCCAAGCAATATTGGTGTCAATGTTCCATTCAAGCTTCCTCAACAAACTAGCAGCAGAACTCTCCCATTTACTTAACTAGAGATTCTTTTTGAATATATCAATAGGATTACTCAAATATTCTATACTAGTGACCTCTATTTTATCCATAGTCTTAGCAAAAGGAGTTTTCAGAATTTGAGATTTGATTTCTTGGTTGTAATCTCTACTAAAGAGTTTCATATTTGAAGATACTACCAGGTTATTTTCCTTGAGACCTAGTCTTCATCTTTTCCTAATGAGAACAAGCTCTCAATTGTGGTAACATTTTCATTTTGTTGAATAACATATACCAACGCCTCCACTTCATTTTTATGATATGGTAACCAGCATTAAACATTAAAGCATTACTCGAACGCAATTTTAGCATCATCTTTGAAATCAAAGGAAGATCATCTCGTGTGAGCCAGGCACCTGCTACTTCCTGGGAGGCTCTCTCCTTAAATGGGACTGCCAAATTTATTGGCAAATTCATAGCCAGAGAACAGATATGGATCAGATCAAGTCTTGAACGCTCAATTCACATAATAATTACAATATTCTTTCTACAACATTTCCCTTGAATAGTTTGACAGGTGGAAAGATGTGGGGTTAAAATAATGCTGCTAAACTGTATGATGGACCATGAATTTAGAAATTTTTTTTTTTTTTTTTTAAAAAAAAGAAAGACCCGGTCCCAATAACAGCCAATCTAGAATGAATACACAAAGCAATGGAAGTATCTGCAATGAAAGTTCATCATGTGGAATTGAGCCAATCGGAAGCAGTTATCCACTAAATGGACCATTAGTCACATCTTATTCAAGGGCAATAAATTGTTCAATGAAACTTAACCAGCATTTTACCTTCAGCATTGTGATCTATTCAAGTGCAATTAAAATAAAAATAAAGTGTACAATTTAGTATAGCACTGAGTTTTGTCAAAACAAACTGAAAAAATCCTTGAAAACATGGGTGTAAAAATTAGTTATATAAAGGAAAAATTTTATGAATTAGCTAAATTGGTAGAACAAGCAACTCAAGCAAATATATGTACAACAATTCCTATATTTTGAATGCAATATGAATTAAGTAGGTTTTTTTTAATAAAAAGCCAAGTGATCAACTTACCCCGTAAACCCATTAACGATTTTAAGAATTCGGTTCTTCATTTCTTCATAAGGAACATATTCCACATTGGGATTGGGCGGAGCTCTGGGTTCAGGGGCTGAGGCTCTGAAATCATCCATTACTTTTTCCAATTTGAATACAAAGTAGCTTTTAAATTGTGACCAAGGAATCCTGAAATTACAAGCAGGGATAAATTATTGTACATCAAATACGGGATAGGTCAAGAATAAATTTATCTTAAATCAGACTAGGCAACAGAATACCTTCCGAAATACTCTCGAAGGGTGCAGTTGCATAGTGGTCTGTTACTGGATTAGCAATCCAGAGGCCTGGACTAATGATCTGGAGACATGAGTTCAAGTCCCACCACAGCAGCTGGGGAAATTTAAAATTCAGTCAAGTAAATAAATCTGGAATGATAAACCATCAGTGACCATGAAACCAGAAGACCGACCAAGTCCCATATGCTATACTCATGTCATTTACAGTAAAGAAATCTGCCAATCTTACCCAGTTTAGTTAGATGCGACTTCAGGTCTTCAACTGACTGACTGACCGTTAACTGCGGATTCAAATTACCTTGCAGTCAACTAATCGAATCACCGTGGAAAACTAAAAACCTGATGAAACATCTAGCATTCAGATACACCAGACTCATCTGACCAAGACAAACATTGCAAATTTATCAACGTGGGGTCTTGTGCTAAAACTTGCCCGATATTGTCAAGAGTCGAGGCATGGCCTGTTGGCCAAATTCCCAGTATGCAAATCATAGAGATTTCAACTTTAACTTTGGACCATGTCAAGCCTCATCCCATAAGAAAACTTCCTGATTAGTAGGAACTACTCAGTATTTAACACCACTTGAGAAAAGCAAAGTAGCAAAGGTATAAAATGTAGACTGCTGCAATGATTAGCACAAGAGTAGTTGTCCACAACAGCTTTAACAACATCACCAGTGCATTGTCCTTGCAGAAATAACACTCCCATCGCCACAAGGAGGACACAGTCTATCATGCTGTGTGGAACTACTGCCATGTTAGATGAACAGAAGTGGAACTATTTTCCACCACAATTTACAAAGCAATTTTTAGATCAAGTGCAGCATCAAGGAGGAGTAGTACAACTGCCAAAGGGAATTGGGCAAAGGCTCCACAGGCTGTAGTCATATTCAACACAAATAACAGTTCTGCATGAAAGACTAATTAGTAAAGTGAGGTGACATAGGATTCAGGGTGAGCTTGTCAATTGGATACGTGATTGGTTTAGTGGCTGGAGACAGTAATGGTGGAGGGCTCCTTTTCGGACTGGAGGCCCGTGACCAGCAGTGTTCCACAGGGATCGGTTCTGGATCTTCATTTGCTTGTCATTTATATAAATTATTTGGATGAGAATATAGAAGGCATGGTTAGTAAATTTGCAGACATAGTCGATAGTGTAGAAGGTTTTGAAAGATTAGAGAGATCTTGATGAAATGGGTCAGTGGGCTGAAAAATAGCAGATAGAGTTAATTCTGGATAAACAGTTTGTTGTACCAAACAAGGGTAGGGCTTATACAATTAATGGTAGGGCCATGGGAAGTGTTGTAGAACAGAGGGACCGCGTGGTGCAGGTACATAATTCTTTAAAGTTTGCATCACATATAGACAGGATGGTTAAAATGGCATTTGGCACACTTGCCTTCATTGTTCAGTCCTTTGAGTATAGGAGTTGAGAAATCATGTTGAGGTTGTACAGGACATTGGTAAGGCCTCTTCTGGAATACTGCATCCAGATCTGGTCGCCCAGTTATAGTAAGGATATTGTCAAGCTGGAGAAGGTTCAGAAGAGGTTTAACAGGATGTTGCCAGATATGGAAGGTTTGAGTTATAAAGAAAGGCTGGATAGATTGTGACTTTTTCCACTGGTATGAAAGAAGTTGAGCGGTGACCTGATGGAAGTTTATAAAATAATGAGAGGTACAGATAGAGTTAATGGTAGCTGCCTTTTCTCTAGGATGAGGGATTTCAAGACTAGGGGGCACATTTTTAAGGAGAGAGGAGAAAGATATTAAAAAAAAAGGGGCTTTTTTTTTTTTAAAAACACAGAGGGTGGTTTAGGTGTGGAATGAACTTCCTAAGGAAGTGGTGGATGTGGGTACAATTACAACATTGGATAAATACATGAATAGGAAAGATTTGGAGGGATATGGGCCAGGAGCAAGCAGGTGGAACTAGTTCAGTTTGGAATTATGCTTGGCATGGACTGGTTGGACCAAAGAGTGTTTTCATGCAGTGTGACTCTATGGCTCTTTCACTCTAAGTACCACCAAATCCAAATATCTGACCCAAGAGGTTGTTCATTTTAAAACGGGGACAGAATTACCTGCCCAATGACACTGCTGTATCCAAACTCTAATTCTGCACATTAGAAGACAAACACCATCACAGGATGTCCGTGAGGATGAAGAGTCATTTTACTGATCAAATGTTCATGGGATCCTGCCTAATAAATCCTTACATGTGATTAGTTTAAGTTTTATAATGCTAACATTTTAATTGCAAAAACAATTATATAAAGTCTGACTACTTGAATTGCATTTGTGTGCTTACTTATATTTGGGTTTCCCCATCCCATAACACAGTTAATGGAACAGAAAAAAGCAACCTATTTCATATCTCAACTGGGCTGTTTGAACAAGAAACAGGCAAGCCATAACTAAAGTTTCTGCTGATAATTAGGAGATCTAAGCAAGCATAAGATTGTGCTTAAACAGACTCATTACAGGTGAGTTCCCACAAAGATAACATGCTCACAAACGCGATCCAGTTCCTGGAAGTATTAGTTTTGACTAACTGCCCAATTGTTTACAGGATAAAAAGGCAAGAGTAATAGTTTCCATGCCAGTAAGCCTCCAACAATTGCACCTCAAACTCCATTGTTCATTGTGCTGCACAATTCCAGGAAGAATACAAGCACAGCTTATTTTTGGCATGGGGGGTATTATTGCCAGATGACTGACCCTAGACAGGGGTTTGAATCTCACGACAGTAAATGGTGTAAACTGATTTCAATTATTAAATTTCTTTAAATGCTAGTTTAATGATGACCATGGCGCCAGTGTCAATTGTCATGAAAACCCATTTGGTTCCCTGATGTGCTTGAAGAAAGAAAATCTGTCACCTGCACTCGTCTCACCTACATGCAACTCAAGATTCATAATAAAGTGGTTGACTCTCAACTCTCCTCTAAATGGCTCTTCTCACAGGTGACAATGATACGAGTTCAAATTTGTTGATTTTTTTTTTCAAATCAGGTCCACTTACGAGCCAGTACTGCTCATCGTAACAGCAACTCTCAGATTAGCTCCTGGACAAGCGGACTGTCTATTTGTCAACAATACAACAGCAGAAAGCCTCCAGAATCTGAATAGACAACATTCCCTCTCTTCTTGTGGAGAAGCAATAAATATTTGGAAGATGGACCTCACTCATCATTTGCCAAAAGATGCTACTTTGAGCCAATAACGGAGATGGAACAATCAGTGTACCAAACTTTCCTGTGCCAGCAGTAAAGAACCGAAAGAAGTTAAAAAATTATCAGAGATCAAAAGGACTCTGAAAAAGTAAAGGGACACCTCTCCAAATCTTGTGGACTAATATTATTGACCTGTGGTCTCCCAACATTTTTTTCCCCCCCTACCCATTTTTTGGCTCGTCTACACGTTTGCGTATAATTTAAGAGGAGGTACAGTTTATGCTAGTTATAAGTTGATAATTCGTATTTTGCATGCCTGCAGTCAGTACTGATTTATTTGTAATACATTGTTTCCTGTTAACTACAGAAACCTCGTCAGCATTTGCTGTCAACTAAATTTCCTCAGGCAGGAAAACTGAGCAGGAATTCTAACCAAATCTGTAACTTTTGTGACAATCCCAAGAGTACAAGAGCTCAAGTTCCAGCATGCTTTCCCAAAAGGAAAGTGACAACTCACTTCTATTCAAATACCCTCCGCACTATTATTACAATTCTCATACCATCATCTATTTAAATATACAGGAAAAAAAATGATCAATAGAATTCTGACAGTATCAGTTTAATCAAGAGTAGCACACAGCAACAGAGATAGATTATGAGAGACATGAAACTTGAATAGGTTAATAAAAGCGAAGTACTGCAGATGCTGAATATCTGAAATAAAAACAAAATTTGAGGAACTCAGCAGATATGGTATCATCTGAGGAAACATTAAGACAGTAACATTTAAAATCCATATGATGCTTCTTTTCCAATTCTTTGCAATTTGAAGTTCTTAAGATTCATATTGGACTTAGACTCTTTCCCTCCCCATAGATGTTGTTAGACCTGCTAAGCCTCTCCAGCTCTTTCACTGCACACACAGATATTGGTCTTGCATCACGTCACATACCTTTCATCCAATGCTCTTCATGCATTGGAGTTTTTCAAACCTACTTTTTAAACTTTCCTCAAGAACAGATTCTTAAGTCACAGACTTAAAAAAAATTGCTTTCATGATGGTTACAAATCTAAATGCCAATTCAATCAATTCTTGCAGATGTTTACAGCATTTTCTGTTCTTCACTATTTTACAAAGCTACATTTAGAACATCTAAGTCAATTTCAAAATCTTAGCATGTTGTATATATAAATTTCAGCAGTTAAGAGATTGATGATTCCTCAATTGCATTCATTTCAGATTCAAAATGTTCAATTACCCTCACAGGGAGAAGTAAAAATCAGTTAAGGAGTGAACTCAGTCTGATCGTCTTGCTCAAACAACTTGTTCAAATGAATCGCAATATTAAATGTCAACATCATGTTTTAAGTAAAAAGCTTGTTAGAGATTTGTGTCACCATATGGAGGACACCAGTAATAGCAAATCAACATCTGCAATTCCATAACGACAGTTGCAAATAGTACTCTGAAAACCAAATTCCCTGCTGACAAGATCCCTCTCTACTTTTGCTTATCCATACTCAGAAGCTTATCAGTACACATTGTTTTGGGTAGTCACAACCATAGAGAGGAAGGGGTGTAGAAGCAATCAAATCAGAGGATTAGGTTATTATCTTAATAAGCTTACAAGTGCAGCCTGTGGAGACATGAATACAGATACACTTCAACCCCCAACAAGCTGAAACGGGTAATCTAAATAACTTTCCCAGTGACA